GAAGAAGAGAAACAAGCTTCACAGGTCAATCTCTAGCACATGGCCAGTTTCTTACATGAGACATTTGCTGAGGTCTTAGATAGCAGGCAGGGCGGAGTGTTTCACCAAAAAGGCAAAAATCTCCTAAGTATTGATGATAGTACTTTATTCTCTTTTCCGATTCTGCACAGCTGATCCTTAATATATGTCTGAATCATGGGCATCAGTCTTCATTTCCCCTGGTTATTAAGACCCTGCTGGGCTTTCTGGTTACAACATCAGTATATGTCACATCTGCCCGCAAGTCAACCACGTGGTCTCTGCTGAGCGCCTCTTGGGGCAGAATGAGTTTGGGAAGTTCTCCGCTGCTATGTTGGGTTGACTGTTACTGAATGACACGACCTCACGGTCTCCTTGCACAGGAACTTCACTGAATCTTGGGTGATACAGACATCAACGAAGCCCTGCTTGCTGTACTGCCATTTAATAATACCTGCAGTAGTGCAGGGCTTAATTTAGGAGGCAGACAGAGGTCCCTTTAACTCTGATTATTCACAAAAACAAACACACGTGGGCTTATTTCTGGGCTCATATCAACTCACCACCCTGCTACTATCTCCTACCCCTCCATTTGGAAGCAAAAAAGCAGATTAATTGTCCAATAGCTGATGTCTACTATATTCTCTTTATGCACCCATTTCTGCAGTCTGTCCACAGCGTTAAAATTCTTATCTTTTGGGAAAGAAAACAAAATCTCACATCATTCTGTATTCATCTAGTTGTTTAAGGATAAATTCTGTGCTCTGTGTCTTCCAGTTTATGGTTTTATTTTTAAATCCCAACTCCTGGAAATTCAAGAACTCACCTTTTCTTTCAGCAGAAGGTAATCTAAGCAAATCAAAGACTCTTAACATTAGGACCTATTATCTGCTCCAAATTTACAAAAGTCTATGTGGATGCTCAAAATCCAAGATTTGTACTACTTATTCTCAGCTAACTCTCCTGAAGACAGCTTGTAAAGAATGGTATCTTGAACATGCTGATGGAGTGGAAAGATACATAGTACAAAGGAGAAGGAGGAAGTTGAGAAAGTGGGAAATACCAATTTTTGAATATTAACAAGTATGATCCTGTTAAAATATACAAAATACTGCTAAACCCCAACATGTATTCCATTTTTATTGCCATGAATCTTCTGCAGTTTTCTGCCTTTTATGCCCACTAAATTTAAATGCCAAATGTGCACACGTAGGGAGAATTAGGGTGGGATTTCATTCACCACTCTCTTCCCTCATCTCTGGTTTCTCATGGACGCTTCACCCCCTGCGCTGTCCTGCTGTATATGCCAAGGCTGTTGCAGCTGACAGGCCATAAACGGGTGGTACCCGAGGTGCGTCTGAGGCACTCATGGTCCAGAGCCTTCAACGACAAACTATTCCCCTGAGTTCTCTCATAACTTCCTGTTGTACAGACTCAGGGAATCTGCCTGCCTGTTTCCAAGACAAGCAGAGCATTTGAGCAGCTGGGCCACTCTGACAGGGAAGTTTGTGTTCGGGGCTGAACCACTGTGAGAGGAAATTGTAGAGCTTGCATACAGTAATAAACCCCAACATCCTCAGCCTCCACCCTGCTGATTTTCAGTGTGAAATCTGTGCCTGACCCGCTGCCACTGAACCTGTCTGGGACCCCAGACAACCGGTTGGAAACACGATAGATCAGGAGCTGTGGAGACTGGCCTGGCTTCTGCAGGTACCAATACAAATACGTGTTTCCATTGCTATGCAGGAGGCTCTGACTAGAGCTGCAGGAGATGGACGCTGGCTCTCCAGGGGTCACCGGCAGGGAGAGTGGAGTCTGGGTCATCACAATCTCCCCACTGGATCCTGGAACAATGAGACAGAAGTGCAAGGTTAGGTACAAACATTAAGAGCAATTTGCACAATTTCCTTTTGTTATTTATTTCTGGCTAAATCATTCTTCATGTGGATGATTTTGATTCATTCTCCAAAAACTTCCCATTTCAAAAAGAAGTGAGGTTTACAAAGCACACAAAGGCCTCTAGAATTCTACTACACTACCCCCCTCTCTCTGTGTCAGAGTCTTCACCAGAGCACAGGCCTTTGCTCTTCTGGAATCTTCCTCACTCTCTCAGATCTAAACTCACATGCCCCATCCTGGAAGACAAGACGTGCACATCTAACACATGCACAGAACACACATGGGAGGCAGTGGGCCCCAGAGCTCTCCCCACCCTATTCTCCTTTCTCATCTCCTTCTGTCCTTACCAGGGACCCAGAGCACCAGCAGCCCCAGGAGCTGAACAGGGAGCCTCATTTTGAGAATTTGGACTGAGGAGTCCTGATAGGTCAAGGTAAGGTGAGTGCTGAGCTTTTATCTCAGACTTGTATGGGAAGGGCCTCCCTAGGGGACAGTATGCAAATGCCCTGGTGGATGCAGTGGAGTAGAAAGAACCAATGGTAGAGGGGTGGGCTTCTCTTGTAAGAACAAAGTGACAGAAAGTGTCTTCTGTGTCAGGAGAGAAAGTAATAGAGAAAAACTCTATTTTGTCTATGTGGGATAAATTTAAGTGTTTCCTTC